TTCAAAATTGGAAAAATACTTCGACTTCGATGGAAGCTGCAATTTTGTAATACACATAACACAATAACGATAAACATAATATGTGTCTCACCACAAATACCTAGAATCGTTTTTAACACAAAATTAATTTGGCTAATTAGAGCTGTCCGTAAAGACCAACCCATATAATAATTCCTAAGCAAAAACCGTCCTCAGTGAAATTAATATAAATATTATATTTTAATTTTTAATTTTTTAGGTTTACGTATTGGGCTTACTGCCTTTATACCAAACCTATCTATTATTTTAATTTATTTTTAAATAGTCGAATAATTAAAAAAATGAAGTTTTGGAATGAACTAACAATTCTCTTCTTGAGGGGTGCAGATGCATATCTTTGCTTTGAACAAACGCAATAAAACCATCATGTTGTGGGTTACACCCTGCGGTCCGGCCCAGCCTGTCATAAATTGTGCTCCAGGTACAGAAAATCGTGTATTATTGGTTGCCTACTTTCAATTTAATTTTTGCTTTATATACGTATCAAAGAATCAAGAACAGTTATCAAATTAGCATTATATCAGGGCACTGTATTTTTAAATTACCTAAAAACTGTTTTTTTTTAATTCAATACGGTATACCGTTATCAAAAAATCTTAATAATTAAAATTTTCACATTTTATTCAATAAAAAATATCTATTAACTTATTTAAAGCGGGAATATTTCCCTGGTCTCCATTTACCTTTAAAGAAACACTACAAACATCAAGAAACTCTTCAAGTCTAAATTTGCGGCTAAAAACAATGAAATAAATTTACATGTAATAGGTATACGCCAGCTTTCAGGGGGTCTGAAGCCTTAAGTGCACTACCGGATTAAATAAATACCCGAGGTCACTGGAGCGACCGGCGAAACCAACGATCTGCTAACGTCTAGATACAGCGTAGAGTGAGAGGTGTTGTCCTCAACACTAGCATGAGATAGCGAATGTGACCCAAACAAACCAGCTGATCAAAACATGTCGACAGCTTCGTTGCACAATGATGGAATTTTGTCTTTTCAGTGATTTATCTAGACTTTTCGAAGCGTATTTCAGTGTGTCTTTATTGTGTAGTGTGTGATTGACTTGTGCAGCCAAAATAGGCATAAGAAAAGAAGAATAAATAAATTATTTGTTTCAACAAAGTGTCTATTTAAATTTGGTGCTTGCTGCCAATTCGCCAATACGAGCATTGACCCAAACCACGTGATTTTGCGTTCTTTGTTTTCATTACGACTTTCCCAATCATGCTGTCTCTCTCACATGTTGAAGTCAATACTCTATTTCGATTTACGATTTCGTACGGAGTGGGGTTTCTGTTATAGTATTTATTCTGTGGCGGTAGGTAGTTTAAATTCGAGCGACCGGAGGAGGCGGTGGTCTTCAAGATTGTTTGCAACATTAATATTGAATCAAAAAAATTTACCAAATTCAGAAATTATTACAATGACAAAATAATGTCAAAATTGACAAAAAATATGCATCAGCGTAATTTAAAGACTCATAAGAGACGTTGCTATTCACGACGTACACTTGAGTGCAATAAAAACGCAAATTGATTTTTTTTATAATGTAATTTGACCAATAATAAATGCCAGGTTTTTGACGTTGTCTTTGTCACAATTTCATAATTGTTTGGCATTTTCCAAACTTGTATCAAGTTTTTCCATTTCGTTTTTAACACTGACTATGACACTGCACTGGTAGAACCACCAAATAAGACGTTTCTTTTGATAGTTTTCTAACCTTTTTGGAAACAACCTTATTCACACTATGTAAATCTCTGAAAAATTTGACAATTTTGTTTTTGACAATTTGCGTTTTTTTTTGCACTCAAGTATACTTTAAAATAAAGCGTATTTTACCGTCAAGCTAAAAGGTAAGCTTAAATGCACCATAGAAACAGTATAAGATAATAGTGTTAGAAAAAATGAACAAGGTATCGTATAACGTGCGAGTGAGCTAAAGTATAACTTACTCACGGATTAAACTTTAGCTCACTGGAAAATACAGATTTAGTTATATCAGCGTGTATCTTGAGAGTGGATCCTAGCATGCAAAATTTTGTCTACACTGAGAAAGGTAATTAATAATTAATTTGCAATAATTTTTGACAATAAACAGACAATTTTAAAATGACAATTTATGATAACGTAAATTTTAAATTAAAGACAAATGTCAAATTAAAGACAAAATGCACTTTAAAACGCAACTAAAGATAAAGTTAAAGTTTTTATGACATACGTTTGTTATTAGAAATAATAGTTACCTAAGAAAAGTACCTCACTCACCCTATGGTGTCATGAGGTCAACAGATTAGAAAACGTTAAAAAGTTGTTTTTTTTTGTTTATGATTAATTAAAATTGTCCGAATACAGGGGACGTACTTTTATTTCATCGAGAAGGCTGTGATCATTAAATACGGAAGTGCCGAAGGTCGTGAAAAGCTTTTAAAATGTGTAGTTTCTTCATGCTTTTTGAACACAATGTTGTTGCTCTTTAAAGCAAATTAACTACAGTGGAACCTCGATAATTTGAGCCCCGTTAATTCGCGTTTGGAATAGTCAAACCAACACTTCTAAAAAAAATGATTAATTTATAAATAAATTTTTAAAATACCTGTTAGTTCCACACAAATACCCTTGGCTGAGAGGTTGCGGAAGTTTAGCAACCCTCAAATTTTTTGAAAAAAAATTCTTGAGGCGTCTTGAAATTTTCATATCCTCAAATTTCATTTTTGAGAAGTTGAAAAATCAAAAGCCAGATTATTTTATCGGTTTTAAAACCTAGCCAGGCATTTGTAAATTTATTTTGCTAAAAATCCAAAAAATGTATTTGAGGCACTTTGAACTTTTAACACAGTAATCTTTGTTATTAAAAATTAATATTTTCAAAAAGACGGACCATTATGGTAGAATTAATACCAGCCAGGTGATCGAGAATATTATTTATAAGTGCGAGTGAGCGGCGCTATAGGTAGGTAGAAGTGTAAGAGAGAACGTATTTCGGCAGCAGTGAAAAAGCATATAAAGTCGCGGCCAATTCATAGTGGCCACTTCCCTGTGTTGATTTGTAAAATTTGAGTTGTGTAAATCCGACTTTAAACATGCAATTGTTTTTTTATAGGGGCATATCTACCAAAAATGACAATTTTGGAAAAATTCACATATAAAATCTACTGTGCCTGTCACAATTGTTGACACAATTTAGTTATTTCTGCTGTCAACATTGACACAACCCACACACTAAAGGTAGCGGGCTAGGGGCTGCCAACTTTGCAATAAATTAAATGGCCAACCTTACATTTCAAAGATAACGTGGATATTAAAATATTTAGATTTTATAAATTAAACATAGTGACCAAACAGCACACTTCAACTTAAATTTATAAAAGATCAAACCAGGGTGTTATAAAAAGTTATGCGTTTTTTATTTGCAAATGATTACTCTATCGATTTGAACATTAAAAAATTAGTGCTAAGAAAGCAAAAAAAAACAGAAAAACACAGAAAATGTGACCTGTAACTGCAGCAACCAGAAGTTGAGTAGATATTTTCGTAATTACCAGTTTATAGTAGAATCGTTTTCCTAAGACCTACTAAAAATTTTATAACTTTTAAGTTAAATGCGGTATTGCTAAGAGTAAATCAGAGGGTAAACAAACCATAAATTAGTGGAACCCACTCGGACCCTGAAGCAGGTCAGTTTTTAACAGGGCCGATTACTTACTTTCTTTTTGTCTAAAATACTTGAAATGTTTTAATAGTTTTTGATGTAGTTGTTTTTAAAGTCAAGTATTTTAAGAAATTTAAAAAAGCCAGGTGGTTATTAACAAGCTATTATTAAATAAAGCTGATTTTTTTAATAAGAGCTTGGTAAAACTCTACCACTACTTTAGTTTTAAATACGGCCCTGTTTTATTTTAGTGGGTGCAGCAACACTTGCAAAGGAACGTGCCATTTATGGAGTGTTACAAATTCAAGCCATTGTTTGGTTAATCCCTTATAATGGTATCATAAAATTTTTCGTAGGTCTTATGAAAACGATTTTACTATAAAAGGTATGTTCTCGCAAGTAACTGTTCAAAATTTTATGATTCCTAAGTTATTACAAAAAAAAAACAAATTTTCATACCACGAGGGCTAGCAGTAGAAATAAGACGCGAGTTATTAATTTAAATTATAGTAAAAATCACGATGAGAAAACGTCAATCTTTTTGGTGACAAGAAAAAATGTTTCCAAAATGTTGATTTAGTTTATATTGTTTGGTTGTGGATAAAAGGTTGTATATCATATGAGTCTTACAATAAATAACTATTATCCGAATAAAAAAACCTCTTGTGTAAAACAGTCTATAATAATAGGTGTAATTCTTCTAGAAACAAGTGTGAACAGAGTCAGTCAATTGCTTTATTGCACCCTAAGAGCTGGGTATCAATTTCTAGTCATAAACTGTTTAAAACCCGTTGCGGCAGGTCAAAATGTTGCGTTTTCTTGCAAGCAGAGACGGACTCAGGAAATTGTTCGAGTCGAGTTATTTAAAAAAATACGTTACAACCAATAAAAAAACATTTTTATATTAAAAGCTGCACAGAAAAAGAAACCGCAGCATTTAACATTAGCTATTGAATAGCTTAGTTTTCATACATAAAGCTTTGTTTAAAGTGAATACGGCCCTGGAAACCAGCCCAGCTGGCTAAGTTCGGAGATATTTTTATTGGGGGTTAAAATCACCGGTAGCCGCCTGTGGGTTCTCCAAGGATAATTACATCCATAAAGCAATTGACTCTGTTTCTCACTTATTTCAAGAAGAACTATAAGTACGAATATTTGAAAATTGGAAATATTGGTTGTAAGTACTTATTTGAGTGTTATCAAATCAGATGTAGTTGCTTTCGACAGCAGATAATTAATAATGTTAGATAATAATAATAATAATAATAATGAGTAAAAATTAAACAAATTGGTCAAAATAATTACCTTTTTGGTATAGAAAATCTACGGTATCTCCAAAGAAAATCCATACTTCTTATGTTAGTAAAGAACTAGCAATTATTCTTTAAAACATATGTAAAACAGTTAAAATTTTAATTCAACCACAGCATGTTTTTATTTATTAATCACTAGCGGTTTTGTTTTTGAAGCGGAACATCGTGGCACCAACAAGACACACTGCACCTCACTTAAAGAAGTAAAGTTAACTGGATGAACGAGAACGACTGAACGCTAGCCGGCTAGCTGGGTCGCTGGGTTGGAGCGCCCATTGTGGGCCTTAATTTGGGGGACGGGGGGG